AGGCAGGGAGGGAGGGAGGCAGAAAAGCAGGAGCTGTGCCTGTCCTGGGTGGGAATAATTCTTGCCCTAAAGTTTAACATTTATTTTTGTTTGCATTCGGAGGGCTCGGCGCGTCTGCCGGCCTCACGGAGCTGCGGTATCCCCGCAGTTGTCGCTGAAACCAAAGCTCCGAAGGGAGGAGGTGACAATAATGTTCCTTAAAATAGAAAATTGTGCAGAAGCTGGGAGGTGTTCCGCTGCAGCCTGGTGAAAGCGCTCTGTGATTGACCCCCCACATCCCCACTGTGAACAATGACTCTGGTTTCTGTGTCTCTGAGTTATGAGGAGCTGTCGGTGTTCACCTTGGACATCTGCAGGGAGAGAGGGCTCGGAGCTGCCGTGCCGCTGAGGGAACCGCCAGCTGAAGGTGTTCCTGCGCAGAGAGCGGCCCGGACAGGGGCTGGGCTGGGAGAAGAGGGGTGGAGGCAGGGGAAGCGGCTCAGCAGGCAGCTCAGAATGGCACCGAAGCTCCCCGAGCCCTGGTTTGTGGTGACCGGGTCTCCTCCGTGGGCTTTTCTACATCTGGAGGGGAACAGCAGAAGGATCCTGCAGTGGGGGGTGGCTGGGATGCAGGAGAGCTCAAGGCTCTGCACAGAGATGAACCCAAATGGCTGATGACGAGATGGGGAGCCTCCAGACTGGGAGATCCTGACACTCGCAGCAGAATGGGGTGGCTGTGGGCACAGGAACGGGAGCCACATCCTCTGTTCCCCTCCAAATTGGTCAGAAGGGGCCCGGTGACGGCATAACCCACATGGTCCCTGAAACCAGAACACCCAGAGCTTGCAGGGGACCGTGGAGACAGTGAAGTCCCAGGCTGGTCTGTCCGTGGCTGGAGCCGAGCTCATCGCTGGCTGCCGGTGCCGTTATGGAGAGAGTAGAAACGGAACTGCCTCTTCAGCGGGATTTTGCTTTCACATTCTTGTTAACAGCCTGGTTATAGAAAAAATAGGTGGGGTTTTGCTCTGATCTCTCCGTTGTTGTGTTGGGGATGGGACCAGCGCTCCAGGGCACTGTTTTCCTACCCTGCCTTCCCCCCCTCTTGCTCCCTCCTTTCCATAACTCTCTATTTTTTCTTGTTGCAGTTACAGACAAATTCACAGAGAGCATGTATGTCCTGGCCAACGAGCCCTCTGTGGCACTGTACCGGCTGCAGGAGCACGTCCGGAGATCCCTTCCGGAGCTGGCACAGCACAAGGTGAGTCATGTTTTGCTTTGGACTCCAGAGCTGTGACACAGTTGGGCACAAGCTGTGATCCTGCCTTGGCACGTTGTCCCTATTTCACCTCCCTAAGGGGGTGGGAGGAAATTTGCTGAAGGGGCGGAGGTGCAGTGGGCTCCGTCTGAGCTGGAGGGGATGAGGGGCTGTTGCAAGTTTACCCACGGACCTGAGGGGGAAAAAAATGAGAGTCCAACCACAGTCCTGTGCTCTCATGGCTGGACTGGTGCGTGGAGACAAAGAAAAATGAGTAGTCTGTCTTATACATGTTGCAAGTTTACCCACGGACCTGAGGGGAAAAAAATGAGAGTCCAGCCACGGTCCTGTGCTCTCATGGCTGGACTGGTGTGTGGAGACAAAGAAAAATGAGCAGTCTGTCTTGTACGGGGAGGAGGGAGATGTTAAATCTTATTACCCCTGCCTACGCTGCGAGATTTTTATTTCCTACATAAAATAAGGGGGAGGGGGAGAGGAGGGAAGGGGGAGCGTGAAGAAACAAGTGAGAAGAGCCCACATGAGGCAAAGCAGGATAATGAATCGCATCTCACAGCTGTGTTCCTACGTTCCTCCAGAGCACGGAGCGCAGACACTTTAATGCCAGCCTTGTTGTCCTTCTCCCTCTTCTGCCAGTCATGATTCATTAGGAGTGATGTCTCATGAATAGATTACTGCTTCATGTCTATGCTAATGCACTGTCAGGCCCCATTTTTCACATTTGCTTTACAGCCCTGCTTTCCAAATTAACCTGGATTGTGACACTTTATTATTCAATTATTTATTAACGTTTCTCTATGTGTCTGTGCAGTGTTGGGTGTACAGAGGTGTAGATGTGTGTGTAGCACATGCTGGTGCGATTGCATCACTGGCATGCGGCGGACAGGTTTGTAATATTATTCCTGAGCTGTCACTCATTTTCATTTAATCAGGATAGTCCCGATTTCAGGGAATGTGTCCCAAACAAAAGGAAATTGAGGAAATTGTATGACAAGTCATGCAGAGGGAAGAGATCAGTTTCCATCACGGAATGGAGATGAGGGCGAGAAGCAGCACAGAAACTGCCGAAGGTGACAGCCGAGCGAACATACAGGACACAGAGCGTGGTGTTAGGCAGCAGGGTTTATGCCGGACAAGATCTCTGAAAACCTTTGATTCTCTCATTTTCCCTGCTCAGCGTGCTCATCCACAGCGCTCTGCGACCTCTCCGATTCAGCTAAGTTCATTCCTAGCTGCAGCCATCCCAGAGAATTCTCTTTTGTACCCAAATTGGTGCTGTTTTCCACTTTCTTCCTGTGAGAAAAGAGGTCACGCTGTCCTGTGGCTGCCAGCAGCGAATACAGGGACCCTGCATGTGTCTGTGTGACTGCAGCCGTTGTGGGTTGCTGTGCCAGAGCCCATGGCTTTGTGGCTAGACAGTGGAACAGAAGGGTGTCAGCAGGGCTGTGCGCTGTCAGGTTTTATCTAATTCAGAGCTAAGGCATTAAAGTGAGGTGGGTTTAGTTCTTCAGAACAGAAAAGAAGAAAAAGGAACATTCGGTGTGGATCCATTCTCGGGTAATTTAGCCCCAAGATGCAGGTAATGGATAAAGGAAACAGGATTTATTGGTGCTTTCCTGCCTCCCTTCATGCAGAAACTCCGTCTCTGTCTGGCTGAGTTCTCCTGAGACCCAGCCTTTGGAATTCCTGGAGGGATTAAACCTGGGAAAACTGGGAGGGAGGGGGGCTGGGAGAAAAGTTTCTGCAAAGAAAAGGTCACCTCCAGGCCTTTACAACAAACAACTTTCTGTGATGTGATAAAACAATAATCTTAATACGTTCCTCCGCATCTCAAACTCTCCAGGCAGATTTACCGCCTCCCTGATAGGATGCGGTGCGATGCGAGGCCCTCGCTGCCTCCCCGCGTCGTTGCTGTGCTGCTAAGCCCTGCTCCACACCGAGCAGCCTGTCGGGATTTCCCCTGATCTTTGAGAACTTACATCTCCTCGTTAATTTACTTCCGATCGGCAGCAATATGTCATTAGTGCCATTGTGTATTAATAGCTGGCTTTAGTTCTGAAACTGCATCCAAGGGTGTGTCCTGGGAATTTAAGAAAGGACATTAAGAAAAGATTAAGAAGTGAGGAGCTCTAGGGGAAGACTCTTGTTCCTAATTAAGGACATGAAAACCCCAGGAATTGGTGGGAATGCTGAGAACAGACATCGCTGTCTGCGATACGGGGAAATGATTAAGATCTGCTGGTGCTCGGAAGCAGCAGGAGCGCAGGCAGGCGGCTGTGACACCTCCCGGAGAGAGCAGGGTGAGGAGCTGCAGGAAAGTTTCTGCGTCTTTTGCAGCTGCCTCTGCGCATAAAGCGTGTTCCCAGCAACAGACGCAGTTGTGTAAAGTGCGATCAGGCTCCGGGGGGTTGTGAGTCCTGGCTGGAAGGACCCTCTCCTGCGGAGCACTGCCTAGAGCAGTGCATGTAGAGGCTTGTTTCTTTTGTAGTTTAGAGCCGTGTGGTCAAGCGTCCTGATGTAAGACAGGCTTTGAACAGCAGAAATGATTTTGGATGAGATCCAAACTCCTACCCGACCTCCTTCACTCGCAGAAAGAGGCCCTTGGATTTCCTCTGGACCCAGCAGAATAGCCGGGAGAACGTGCTCCCATGAGAACAGGTTTTAAAGAGTGCCTGAACTACTTAAGGACTTTTGAAATAGTTTTTGATTGAGCTGCACCTTTGAATTCCTCTGTGCTTTCGTTGTGATTTGTTTGGTTGGTTGGTCTTCCCGTTCCTTGGAGCTATAGGACACAGTGATGTCCTGTGCCAGAGCTGGCTGCATGCGGTGCTGCTCGAGCTGGCGTGACGTTCCCAGGGCTCCTTCCAGCTCGGGAAGGGAAGGGCGCAGCGCTGCTGCTGCTTGGGATCAAGCACCGGAGCTTCAGAGCAGACTGGAGGACAGGGACACTCGTGGTTGTAAAAACATTTATGAATGGCAGGTCTGATGAAACAAGAACTTGCTGTGAAAGAACATTTACCTGGTTTTGCGTGAAGGACTAAGGAGCGCACTCCACAGGAGCTGGGTTAGTTCAGATCCCAGCTGCCTGCTGGGCCGGACACACGGGGAAATCGGAGCGCTCTGAACAGCCAGCTGGTCCGTTGCTCTCTGTGCAGTTGCTGGTTGCTCGCAGCCCGGCTGCCCGTGGCTCTCAGCTGGCTCGTGGGCTGAAACATCTGAAAACAAGGAGAATTTTGCCAGAGTATCCAAAGTGTTGTCCTGAACTAGTAGCCCTTCCAGAAATACACGTAATAAATGTTTCTTTTAAAAGCTAGCGTGTGGCACCTGGAGCATGCCACAGGCTGTCAGCTGGGAGACAGAATCCAGGCTCGGTTTCCAGTGAAAAGCAGCTGGAGCCCTGGTCTGGGCAGGGCTGGCAGAGCACATCGCTGCGGCTGCGCCGGTCCAGCGTGCACCCACCGATGCCGCCTTCTCTTTTCTTCCAGTCCGACATGCAGAGCTGGGAGGAGCAGAGCCAAGGAGCCATCTACACGGTGGAGTACGCCTGCAGGTATGAGACTTCTTCGAGCAGAAGGTTCGTGTTCACAGGCGGAGAGAAGCCGAGCAGAAGCCGCCCGCGCTGCCCTGCCGCCTCCCTGGTGTCAGCCGTGGGGAGAGCATCGGTGGGGAGCGGTGTGAGGTGCGAGGCAATGCTCTCTGCAAATCTCAGGGGCTTTGCTTTGAGCGTGCCAGCTCTCCCCCCGTTCTGTGTGCGGCGCAGACCTGCCAACCCGTGGTAAATCCACCCACCAGCGAGTGTGTGAAGATGCATAAAGTTGAGATTTCTTATTGAGTCTTCTCTGCCAGGGAATGTGTGCTCTCAAAGCCACGATGCCTGTAGAGATCCTAACCAGTCCTCCATCTCCCTCCACCCCTCTTTGCTTTTTTCAGTGCCATCAAGAACATGACTGACAGCAGCGTGTACTTCAAGAGCATTGACAGTCTGCTCAAACACGCCATCGCCATGAAGGAACAGCTGAACGCTGCGCAGGGCCGCAGGTAGCCGGGGGTATGACGCTGCCCGTTTATCCCAGGGACCTTTCTGGCTGGCAGAGGCTTCGGTGACATAACGCAACCCAGCGCAAAGATGCCAAGCGGTTATCTCAGTCGTGGGGTTCTAGATTGTTATTAGAAAGAGCATGCTGCTTGCCTTCCAGTGATCTCCTAGCTTTGTGTACTGGGAAGGAAATAATCTTGTTTACAAAAGGGTAACTGGAAAATAGTTTATTTCCTTATTTAAAAAGGGATTTTTGGTTGTGTAATACATTAAATCTGTGTTGTGTCAAAGGCATTTGGAGTGAGATGATGCTGCTGGGATGGAGGAGGTGAGAGGCTGCGCGTGGGGCTGTTCTGTCACGTCTGTGGCTCTTTTTGGGCAGAGTTCCACAGAGATGAGTGGTGCTGACAGATGCAGCAGAATGATGATGTGTTTTTGTACGTTTGCAGTTGAACTACAGCTACTAAAATATCTTCCAGCAGATCCTCTGAGTCTGGTGTGTTTGTCTGTCCTGAGAACGGTGTCGGTCTTGGAGTCTGTCTGGGTGGGAGGGAGAAAATTCCCAAATGCCCGTCCCTGATAAAACCACCACAGCAAACAGAGCGTCTCTGTCTCTGCAGAGTGCCTCTGCCTTCATATTTCTGGTTCAGGTTCCATGTTTTCCCAGCTGCCGGCATGGCTGGGTCATGCTGTGCAGCCCAGAGCACGTTTAGTGGTTTTTGCGGCGGTCTGGCTGCGACGATTGCTGTCTCGACGCCCACGGGGGCTGGCGTACGCTGCTCCGCAGTCTGCACAGCACAGTTAAAGGTGTGCTTGTCTGAGCTGCTCTCCTGCTGCAGGCAGTGAGGTTTTATTTGAGGGAGCCCCTGGATCTTCACATTCTTACAGCTGCTGGTGTCCTACCTGCCCGCTGGATGTGACTGTTTCTTTTTTTTTTTTTTTTTTTTTTTTTTTTGCAGCACTGTTACCCCACAAGCCAAGAATCCTCCGGCCAGTTCCTGATTTCAGACGAGACTGGCCGTCCTCTGCCGCCTTCTCCAGCCCAGCTCCATGTTCTCCAGCCACGGGGAGGAGTGAAAAACCACCTGCTCCATCTGTGACACTGCGCAGAGGCCTCTGCCTACCTCTCCTCTCTGGTCCCAGGAACAAGTTGCTGCACCCGAGGAGGCAAATCCTGCCCCTGGGGTCAGGGCTGCCTTTGGGGAGCACTTGTGTCCCTTTCCACAGCACTCTGCAAAAGGGAAACGGGGTGGTTCTGCGTTTGTCCTTTCCAGTTCTTTCCAGTGGCAGGCTGCTATGAGGCCTTTTGCTCTCTACCTCTTGGCCACAGAAATCTCTCGGAAAAAACTAGGTCTTGCTTTCAGTGTTTTGTAGGTGGCTGTGTAAAGGCGCAGTGTAGGCACACTTCAGCTTTGTTCGGGAGGCATTCCGCAAGGAGAGGTTTTCATGTGTGTGCCAAGGAGTTGCTGAATTTGGTTTTAGTGAGAACAATAATAAAAAGAAAAAAACAAGAAAGTTCTGTCTAAAACCTTCCCCTGTTGCTCGTGCGGGCTGGGGGGCCTTGGAGCCTGCTGTCTCTGTGTGTTTCAAAGGGCATGGAGCAAAACAAAGACATGCGGAGTTGGAGCCTTTCAATGGCAAAAAGAAACTGTCCTGTTCTTCAAAAAAAAAAAACAACAACGCAACAAAATAAGGACTTTCTTCATCCCCTGTCAAGCAGTGGGAAGCAGAGCTGTACACACAGCCTTGGAGGTCACTTTACAAAGGATGCGACTTCAGTGTTAATCTCTCCTGGGACCAACAGTTCTGTTCTGCTGCAGAATTTACCGAGGATGCAGGGATCAAAGCAGTGCTTGACTTGGTTTCTAAAGGAATTGTTTTGTGCTCAGGATAACGGGTGTCTGTCAGGGTAATAGCACGGGAGGCGAGAGGAACCTGTTGGAATCGGGAGCCTCATTTCACTCCCTGGAATGCTTTACTGACTGCTGAACGATAAGGAGTTGGGGAAGAACCAAGCGTGCTGCTGCTCTGGACCTCAGCCTCGACCATCAGTGCGGTTCCGATGGCACCCAGACGATCACAGAGGTCCCTCCACCACTGAGCTCAGCCGGGGCACTGGGGCCGCCCCAGCGCAGCCCCCTTCCAGCTCAGAGCTGGTAAAAGTGACCCCACTGAGCAAACTCCATCCTGCCCAGAGGTGGATGTACCAGTGACCACGCAGCAGGTTCTCTGCCACCCCAAACCCATCCTCTGCAGCTCACGCACTCCCCTGGTTCCATCTCAGTTGCTCCTCCATCACCTCCCCAGGTTTCTTACACCCTCCTGGGTCTGTTGTATGAATCGTCTCGGTGCAGCACTGGCTCCTGGGGCTGGAGGAGGAAGGAGAAGGCAGGGAGGGACAGACAGCTGGAGAAATCTGCTGGAAGAGGAGGGTAGGTCTGCTCGTGGACAAGGGCCGCTCGCTGCTTTTCACCGATGTGTTCCTTCGCTGCCGCTGGGCCAGCTGTGGGGGTCCTGTGTGGGTCACTGCCAGCCACTGCCCCACCAACGCTGTCCTTGTTTGGGCGGTGACCAGTGCCAGCAGCATTGCGGGCAGCAGGAGGGGCTGGGGGCTTTTGGCTTTGACAGGAGGTGGCATCTCGGCAAAAGAAGCAAAGAGCACCCAGCAGCGGCTGCACAGACCCCGAGAGGGGAGAGCGGAGGGTGGAAAAGCAGCCGCCCCCCTGCTCTGCTGAGACAGGACCTGTATCCAGCTCTGGACAGAGATGCACATCTCAGCCCTGGTGCCTGCACCTCCCCTGGGACAAGATGGAGCAACAAGGTCCCACTACCGCTCACACCAGCGTCGAGTCCTTGCCCGAGGCTCCAGGTTTGCGCGACAGCACGTTCCTCATCTCCTGCGTGACGCCGTTCCAG